TAGGGAAGCATACTTTTTGAGTGTTTCTCTAAGATTTTTAAATCTTCCTTCAGATGATACAGTCTTCTGAAGCTTGTCCATGAGAGCTTTTGTCTAGAAAGAAAGTGCATTACAAATGTCATTGCTGTTGCACATAAATGCCTGGGATTAGATTTTAGAAAAGGTGTATTTCACGTAGCATCTTTGGTCCATTTTCAAAAGTAATAACAGAGGCATTAGGAATTTAGCTTTCATTGTAGTTCCTAGTGTATTTCTGAAAACGGATATTAGGCAGCATTAAGGACTTTCCTTTGACTGATACACAGAACCTCTATCTATGCTAATATTATTAGCCTGCATATTCAGCAAAAAACACAAGTTCATTAAATTAATGGTCAGTGATTCAGTTTACTGTGTACACAAGAATATTAGAGATTTCACCTTACATGTTGCAGAGGATCCTCAGCTGCATTTACTGAAACTAGTGACGGTAAAGGATGTTTACTGTCTTGCAGCTTGCACTAGGCTGGTTTTGCCTGCAAGTTTCTGATAAAAGCTGAATATATATTTGAAAATATATTACTGTCTTACACAAATTACTTCCAGTGGGCACCATCAGAGCCTGGTTACTTCATAAGCAAAACAAATTTGCTTTTCAGTCCATTTATGACTTGAGACAGTACAGAGAATCATGATAAATTTGTCATATTTGAAACTGAACTTCCAATTAAGAGAAAGCTGTAGGCAGAAGCAGACACTTTCTTTTTCTTCTAAATAGCAAGGTGATAAAACATTCAGATAAGTTTCCAATAAGTACTGGAGAACTGTGCAACAACATTAATGTGTTTGGTTTTTTTTTTAATTGAGAAGGTTAAAAATCAAACAAATTCTAAACATAAAACTTTTGGAGGTAAACTCTTATATAACAGTTTATACTGAAAGGATTTTTAGCATATCTTTAAATAAAAGAACATAGCACCAGCTATAAAGCATCTGAGAAAAAGCTGACTGGAGAAAGAAGGCAATGCAGTCAGAACACATTCCAAGTGGATTTCATTGCTTGGGCTGCTTGAGTGCTTTGTAAAAGCTGCAGAAACGTACAGAGGTGGAAACGTAATGATAAAAGCCCACCTTTTGCATGTCAATTATCCAGATCTAAAAAGAGCAAGCTGAAATCTTCCAATTAGTTGGAGAAAACCCTGTATCCAAATACTGCCTAACTTAAAAGTGATTGGCTCTGTCCTACAGACCTCCTTGCTCTGTTATTCCATCATACAAAAATATTAACCTTTTTTTTTCAAATAGTAGAAAGCTGAGACTTAAATCATTCAACCCATTTCTCCAAAACACTTAAAACAGAGAACATAAAACAACAGAATCATAGAATACCTTGAGTTGGAAGGGACTCACATGGATCATTGAGTCCAACTCCGTGTAAAAGACTGGATACTCTTCATCCTGGCTAGGGCTTTTTTTGTGTCTTATTTTTGTTATTGGCTGTGGTTCTCACAGGCTCATCCATGGGGCTGACAGTATCAGCAGCACAGTAAGGGTTAAAGGGAGATATTTACTGCATCTAAACTTAGCCGCCTAAATGAGAAAGAGGTCTAGTTGTCTATGGTCTGTTACAGCACAGCAAAAAACTCAGCACCTTGAGGGGAAATGCTCACCTTTCTGCACAGGCAGGGAAATGTCCCCTATTTTAGGCACCTGAGCTGACTACAGTTACAGCTAGTAACCACCCAGATGTCTATCTTTGAAAATATCTAGTTTTCTTAAAATTTAGTTTTCTCAAATATTTCAGTACTTCAGGCTCAAGTTGTAGGCTTAGGCACCTGACAATTCCATTGAAATCTGTTTGTCACTATATATATTTAATTAATGACACAAAAAAGGGGTAAGCTAAATACAAAATACTTTGACATGAAACACCAGTACCACATGGTGTTTCCAGCAAAAAGTCAGAGTATTGTAAAAGTAGAAATATTTACGGGAGGAACCCTATCTCAGGACGTTGTTTTCTGAACACACTGACCAGTGAAATCTAGAAATCGTACTGTAATCATATCTTTCTTACCTGTTTGGATACTTTACCCCAAGTTTTCTTAAGTCTGTAGATTGCACTTCTGTTCAAGGCTGACGTGATTTCCAACACACCATTGTAATTGTGCATACATCGACAGATATCAGCTACTGCTACCCACTTTTCAATTGAGTTAGCCCGGGAGCTGATATCAGCATAATTCATGATTTGGGAGGCAACAAGGTTACTCATCTGATCAAACAAAGAGGAAGAAATTTAGGATATTTAAACATAATCTTTTTCAACATATAATTACTTAATGAACAAGGCAGAAAAAACTAATGCACAACAGAACTCATGGCTCTTAATAAAACCAGAGAAAGTATATTGAGAACAGTGTTGCAGGGAAGTGGAGGGGAATGAAGATATGAAAGAAGGGTAGGAAATGCAATGGGGAGTATCTCCAAGTCAACACTAATAAAACTGATTGGGAAGTATCTCAGTAAAATTAAAGGAAAATGGTAAAGAGCAAAAATATGGTTGGGGATACAAAGGGCATTCATTAAATAGAATTGGTGTTATATTTTCACTCTCTGGAGAAAATTTAGTTTCTTTTATAAGCAATAAGACATCGTAGCACAGCTTATAATGTTCTACCCTACTAAATTGCCATTGAAATGCTGAGTACCAATTCTTGAAAACAAGAATCTTCATGTGCTTTGATTTAAAAGGTTAATCACAAAAAAAAGACTGTAACATTCAAAAAAACTACATCACATTGTAAAAAAAAAAAAAAAAAAATTTTTGTTCCAGAGGTCATAGACAGCGTCAATAGAGTTCCTAGAAAGCAATCTATATTTAAGAGTACTTACATCATTAAAATGTTGACTAGTTTTCATAATATAGGGTGTTCTCTCATTTTTATCCGCTTTCATCCAGCCTTGCCCAAGAAACTCTCTAGATATTGAGGGGACAGGAAAAAAAAAAAAGAGTCTCTGTCTGTAACTGTAGCCTAAGTGGATTTCAACTATACCTTATTTTGTTAGAAGCTAATAACACAGCTTTACACTAATTCCAGCATCTCACTAAATGATTTTTCATGTTATCTGAAACAGTAAATATTATAAAGATTTATTTTTCTTTTAATCCCCTTGCTCAGTCCCCTCATCCTAATTTTCAGCGTTGTGACCCTATCAAAATTTGTCTTGTCAGCTTATACGGTTATATCCATGTTAAATTGCTGTATGAGTGAAGTTGATCCAATGCTCCCTCCATAGAGACTCAGCACTTGCATACCATTTTCACATTTCACTAGCCCAGAGCCTCAGACTGCAGATTTTTTTTCTCAGCAAAGAACTCAGCCTTTCAAAACATGATCGAACTATAGGGTAGTCAGAGGCAGTGACAGAAACAGGTGAAAGACATTATCCTGTTATGTGTGCAGACCTTTTTGTCAGCAGCATGAATTAGTGCAGTGCCTAACACTGCCAGTCAATAACTCGCCCACTGTACTCACTTCAGTCACTTGTAGGAGGACACTTACTCATACGGTATGCTTCGGAAAACTACGTGATCTAAAAGAGTTATTTGCTCTGCAAGCTCCATGGCCGACAAGGTCTCAAAGCACTCTGGTTTTGGACAATCTGACTGCAAAAATAAGGAGAACACTTAATGATCTCTTTTTGCATCACAGGACATTTCAGAGCACAGACTTTTAAGAACTTTGTATGAACCTTCAACATGGAGTTGTAATTAACTTCTTTGCTCAAAGAAATCAGAATTAAGAAAAAAAGGGTAAACATCAAGCTAGAAACCCATAGGAAAACATGCACATACCAAGCCAGGAGTAAGCACGTAGGTCAATTAAAGTCTGTGTATTCTGCGTTACTTTCCACATAACCACTCTGCACCTGGTTCATTGCCCACACTCTTCTTCAGATTAATGCAATGTACTTAGGAGATGGTGGTGACTACAGTTTGGAGAACAGGCACTGTCAGTCAAGGCCATCTACAGTTCTGATGGCAGCTGAGATGGCAGACGCTTATGATTTCATATAAATTAATACCTTTCCCTTATTTTATCATGTGATTTAAATCCAAATCCTAAAGTTTTGACTTGTTCATCTTTGACATGGGGAGAAAGAAATTCTTATGTTCTCTAAACTGAAAAGTACGCTCCTGATACAAAAGACCAGTACTTCTGTCCAGAGTTGTAGAGTTGCAATTGTGCGACATTATATTGACTTAAAATCGTAACATTTCTATAGGAGTATTTATGTTTAAATTTCAAGAAGAACTTACCATCTGAATGATATCCTCTATTTTTAAATGGGTATCATCTTGATCATCCTGAGAAAGAGCCCTGAAAAATTAAGTAGCAGAACATTCTATATAAATAAAACTGTCCATGGTTATAAGAAAACCTTATCACAGATAGGCAATCATATTTATCTAAAATAAATCCTAAGACTGCAATTGAAGATATGAAGAAAAAAAAATATATGGTACCTAAAATCTAATGTAGGTACCTCTTTTAAGTAAAAAATGTACAAAATTATATGACACCAGGGTCACGTAAGGTAAAATGATGGTCATGGAAGGTTAAAACCTCTAAGCATGCACGAATAGCATATACTGTAGAATGGTCAATGACAGAGACTACTGTACCTAATTGCTGATTATAGTGATAAGCTTTCTGCACCCATCCCACTTTGACTTTAGTGCAAAGAAGACTGGTGGACAAAGAAAAATTCCCTTTTCAAGAGCTGGACTGGCAACGCAAAACCTCAACACAGTAACAGTAGTATTTAATGAGAAGCTCTCTATCCTGAATAATCTTAGGAAACGTAAAGGTAGAAAATTACATCTCAAGCCTTTTCTCTGCCTTTTAAACTGTTGTGCTAAACGATATTTTGGACAAATGTTTGAAAAATCAACATTTGAGAAGTAAAGAAAAGACAGTAACATAGGCATGCATAAAAGAGTGATTCACTGGGAAGTGCTCTTGTTTATTGGCACTACGATGTCTTATTCAGTGTTCCACACAAAGAGCTGAGAGTATACAAATAGACAACAAATTGCTAGCAGATTTTGACTGTAGCAAGTACATGATTTGCTTTCAGTAATAAAAGTGTTAAATGATGCTTCCGAATCTGCTACAGAAAACCTGTGATTATTAGGGTTATTTCAGAGTAATGTGTCAAAAATGAACCCATCAGAAGTGATAAGTATTCATCAAACCTCATCTACCCTGATTAGTATCTTGGCACATAATTCTAAGTTCTTACCCCTTCATTTGGAAAATATAGACCCAAAGAAACCTTGAATAGACTAGATTTATGTAATAGATGAAAGAGAAGATTTAGAGAGAAAGAACAGTAAGTCAGTATGCAGAAGACAGCCTATAAAGACACCAGCGATATGGCAAGAAGTCACTGGACTGATTTGCATCAGGGGAGATGTAGTTTCAACATTAAGTTCAATTTTCCTACCGCAAGTATAGCTGAGCCTTGAAACAGGCTTTCTACAGAAGTTGTAGAGCGCTCATCAGTTGAATTTTCAAGGGAAGTTTAGATGACCATTTTCAAAGAAGATCCAGTTTTACTGATCATTCCATAAAGCACAGCAACTGGACCAGATATCTTCTCATGGTCCCTCCAATTCTTTATTTTTGCACTCTGTAGTAACAGACTTTCTATGTACCAGCTGGGTAAAGGGTTAAAAAAAAGGATTATATTGCCTGGAGACTTTAGCTATGAGTGTAAGATACGGAATTTGTACTATGTGGGTGGGGAGGAAGTGTTAATGCTTAGTACACTAGGTTCTTCTGTTGTGAGTTGCTGTTATTTCCTTTTGGTTTGCCAAATTGGAGGACCAGGTTAAAATCAAATGCAGATACACAGAGAAAGGATCTAAGAAACTTCATTGCCTTCCTTTTCAGCCTATCAAATCCAGACAAAATGCCGCTTTCTTCACAGGAGTTGGAAACACCTTATTTCTGATGGGCAAGCCATGCAAAGCCTGGAATGCCTACTTCTTCAGGAGAGCCTGAACTTCTCCAGATAACAACAGTGTGCAGCCTCAGTAATTGTAAACAGACTGGCAATCTATCTTTCCTGAGCAGCTTATTTGGTCCTGTATCTCATGACTGATTGCCTGCAGAAAGGTATTATTCATCGTATGACAAAAGCATGTGCTTCCTGGCAATTAAAAAAAGAGGACTTGCCCTTCTGCCCCAAGTATTCTCAGTAATCTTGCAAACTCATCATTTGAGTTCCTTATATATAACTTTATAATGGCTGGAGTTGTCATCTTTGATAGAGAAATAATTGTATTTGCTTAATACAAAATAAAATAGGAAACATGAGATTCTTAAAAGGCTGAAAATACTTAACTTTTCCCCATCATTGTTTCCTGATACTCTTTAATATGACATCTCACATTTTATGTAGACTTTCAATCCCTCATTCTAAAGAGACAACTGGTGCTTTTTCTCTAACCCGGTGGTCTCATGAAAAAAAAATCTCCTTTTATCCGTAAATGCTCTATGTTTAAATCTGCAGAGGACAGTACATCTCTAGACTGGATAAAGCTACTTTGATAGCACTGGTAGAATCTTCCACTTCAGTCTGAACTGTTGTCAGCTTTGGGATACCTAGTTTCAACAAACGTCTAGGAACATGTGTTGAACTGATCACTTCTGCTTGGGCAGTTCCCATTGCACTGGAGAGGCTCCTGGAAACTGGTTAAGAAGCACAGGTCCATGTGAAAAGAGTTATGAGAGAAAGCAAAGGTAAGGAGAGATTCTGCCAGAATGTTTAAGAGTATCCCCCTCAGGAAGGACTGAATGAGGTGACACCTCCATCCTTATGCTTACAAATGAAATAAGTAAATATAAAAGTAATAACTTCCGAATTCTTAGAGTCAGCAGCTAAGATTAGACCTCTCTCTCACTTAAACTGTTCTTGATGCTTGACCAGTCCAAATATTAAAATAATTTTCTAGTGGAATATATTAGCATCTGTCTCCTCATTCCTTTACGGTACACAGAGTATTTTTAAAATATTTTAAAAGCTGGTGTAAGTTATAAAGTCTGAAATGTATTGTCTGGTGAGATCATACAACGCAGAAAATTGGTCATCCATCATATTTTGACCTCTGCATATCCCTGGATTTAATTTACATTTATTCTGAGGAAGAAGAAGGAGGAATTGTTTCTTGAACCACCCCTTTTTTTCTCCAGATAGGACTATTTATCAAAGTTATTCACTGCTGTTCAGTCTGAACTTTACACCTTCCTGCTTCACCATCAATGAAATTTTACCTAGATTTCAGAGGTTAGTAAATAAGGCTGATAAAATCTCAAGCAAAACATACTTCAGTAGGTTTGACTAGCTTTCAGAAAGTATATTGAATAAAAAGTAAAAAAACCCTTTTCTACCCTGCACAGAAACCCAGTCAATCCATTCAACAAAAAACTCATCACGTAATAAATACCAGCTGTTCTGTCTGATGACTCAAGAAGGCATGAAGCAGCTCAGTATCTCTCATAATCACCTTCCTTGACATTCATATTCTACACAGTCTTTCACAGAGCTGACCATAATATCTTCAGAATACAAACCGACCTTTCCTCCTCCTCTAATCTCTGCTAATAAAGGGACTGATTTTCCAAGAAATTTATATGCCCATATGCGCACATACACTCAGGCTGGGTCAGTCTGTAAAAAGAGACATTTGTACCCAATATCCTTCAAGGAGACAGTGCATGGAATATACCTATATGTAGGCTCAGAAAGCATGAACTTTTCTTTCACGAGTGTTTGTGCATTGAATTTATGTTAAGAAATGCTTTTCCTAACCTCACTCTCAATTCCTCTACTTTTCAGAGTCAAGAGTAGGCTATGAAAACTGAAATGCAGAGAAGCCAAGACCTACAGTGAAGGCTGACTGGCAAACCAGAACTCTGATAGACTCCATGCTTTGATACGCCAAGGCCTCTCAGATACAAAAAGCCTGTGGCAAGTACCTCTTCAGAACAACTAAAAAGCCTATTTTATGACACTCACCTAGTAATTGAGTGAATGACTATTTTCATGAGGGGCATATCAACTGGCTCATCCCTCCTTCCTATTTTCATCCTGTCCCAGAGAAGTCTTTGGAATGAAACGTTCATCAAAACTTCCAGTTAAGACAAATCTGTGCTTTCACATTAAAAATATGCTGTCAAAAATCTTCAAACAGTAGAAGATTACTGTTTGAAGTAACAGTAAAAAAGCTCTTCAGTTCTAGGTGAGTAATTTATGTTCCTTCTGTAAGTAATATTAGATGAAAGCCCTTCCTCTAGAAGAAAACCAAAAAGGTATCACCTTTCAATGGAGGTAGGTATGTGGTGGTGATGCACTGAGCAGCATTTCTCCAAACCAGATATTGGTAGGTGAACCAAAACAGGAACACAATATCTGGGAGCACCTCTACACATTTCTACAATAAGAAAGACTCTAGATACCTTTAAGATATCCAGTGTGGGATTCACATCTTCCACAAGTGACTGCCTGTGTTCTCTAACTGTCTGAGAAAGGAAGGTGTCTTCTATGATCTCTGAAGGAATAGTCAGGATGCCTAACTTTAGCCAACTTTCGTGGACAGAATCTCCTTTGTGATAGGCAGTTACCTTGGAAGGAGTGCTTCATCAGCTGTCTGTAGTTTGTTTCGTGTTTAGGTGCTTTAGTTAGACACAGTGGATCCCACGAAAGAAATTTTTCTAAGTTAACGCAGAGAGGAAAACCCTTTTTCATTATCACCCTGTCATTATATTCTATGGACGGTTCAAGGAACTCAAGAAATAATTTTATTCCATTACAGGCCTTCTCTTAATATTCAGAACGTTGACCGTAATCTGCCACGTTGGCAAACTATAGAAAAATCTGTAAACTGATGCAGAGAAAAAGAAAACAATGATATGAGAGATACACTGGTGTAGAACACTCTTCACAACGTCTCGATGTAGTATGGGAGCATTTGCTTAAAGCTTAGCAGTTCTTGGGCAAAAGGAACATAGTCGTGGTTGTCCCTATTACAATAAATAGTAATCTTCAGAGACAAGTAATAGATATAATTCTCCCATCTTAGGGAAGGGCATGTTCAGTGTTTGCTTTGACCTACTTCCACAACCAGATGTGGCACCACAGGAAGCATCAGGCAAGAACATCAGGGAAAGAAACATTTCCGTGTCATCGTGTGCTCTTTTTGCACCAGAAGCAGTACTTTGTTTTAGTGCAAATACAGAAAAATCTTTGATCTTCTGGCACTAGAGACGTGGTTGCCAATTGGGTTCATATAATTGTATTGTCAGATAGGATG